AACACACACTAGGTGCATGTGTGCATGTGTCCCAAATCTGACAGGATGGAGATATAGAGGGAAAAGGATGGTGACAAGCCCATGTCCCACTGGGGGATGATCTCCCCTGCCCCCACCTTTTTGGTGAGTGCACATACCCTCTGTCAATTTTAAAAAGTAGAGAAAATGACCTAAAAGAAAGAAAAAGAAAAAAATGCATAGACATTGGATTTCTGGAAATCTTATTTGAGAAATACCACTGTTCTGCTAGTTTCATCGTATGACAAAAACAGTGTTCAAAAAGGCAGACTCTTGGCTTTGTGGAAACTGGTTTTTGTTCTACAACTCAGTAATTTTACTGAACCACCCTGCAGTTTGTATTTCCTGTTTTTGTTCCCTTCAGATGCTAGAAGGCAGGCACTTCATAACTGTTAAAGATCAAGCGTTTTCTTTTTCTTTTTTTTCATGCGATGTTTAGGCATACAGGAGTCTGAGAGATAAAAGAACAGTTTAGCAGCTTGGGGGTATAAAAAAAGCCCAACAGAGTAATGAATGGTACCTGGATGCTTAGGAGCAAAGGCACACTGATTTGGTTTCTTTTTAATAATTCAAGGTCCCTTCACTTCTCCTACTGTGGGGACTGAGCTAATGAGGTTAACGAGTAACTGCCCTGCAATGGTCTAAAATTCTCATAAACTTCTTGCACCTGCATTTCTGCAAACATCTGCTTCTAAAAAACTATTGTGTGAGTGTGTGTGTGTGTGTGTGTTGTATATGCAGTGTGTGTTTGTACACACGTGTGCACATCACCTTGTTGCAGAAGAATGTTCTTTTCAATCTCACCTTGCCCAAAGTGTCATTTACTTTCCCTCCAAGTTTTATTATTTATAAAGATTCTTAATTACTAGCAAATGCTGTTATCTAAACATGATCTATTGAAATAGTCTCAAATAGTATGTTCAAAATCTTATGTTTCGATATCTTAAGAAGTAGAATTTCAGTAAGATTTTTTTTTTTTTACTAGACAAAAAAAGTGAATAAAGCTTGGGAAGACTTAGGATACGATTGTTAAATTAGAAATCCAAAGATGCAAGTCTTTCTGAAAGTTGAGCCTGCATAAATGTAATTAATTTAATTAATGTGCTTTGAAAAATGAGTAATGATAGAGGGCCTGTCCATACACACAAGAGACAGAGAGAAAAGCACCCTTGACAGAGTCTTGTCACACTTCGATCCCCTTTGTCCAGCCCTCCAACTCTTCAAGATCCTGGGTACACCAATGTGTTTCCAAATCCATCCAGAGAGCTGAACCTGTGGCTGACCGTTTGGCTTCTAGCCTTGCAGGGCACTTGTGTTATTGCTGTGTCAAAGTGGTTGGGCCAATTAATGCAGTTTTAATGGGTGACAGTGAGCTTCTAATCCTTTAATAATCAGAAAAAGAGAGAGGAAAAAATTGAAAAATAAAATAAAAATTATAATAAGTCATCAGATTCATCAACCATAACTAAAAAAGGAAGTAAAAAATATGATTAATAAAAATTTTATAGAAAATTACCTTCAACTAAAAAGGAAAACCATGTGACATAGAATGAGACTGGATAATGGCCACACTCAAGAATGTGGTGGCTGTAGCATCTTTCTTGTATCATTATGTGAAACACTCAAGAATGTGGTGGCTGTAGCATCTTTAGTGTATCATTATGTGGGACAGCCCCACCAATGCCTCTAAGTGGAATCAGGAAATCCATGTGTCTGGAATAGGATACCCATACCTTTGGGGTTACAGATCTTGGGCAAATAAATCTACGGAACCTGAACCCTCATTCTTTTATCATAATCCCAAACCTACCTAGATTGAAGGCAGTTCATCTGGGAGGGCTGCAGGTAACATCCGCAGCACTGAGATGGTCAAGCAAAACTCAAATTCATACTCTGCCTGCGTATACCTACGATGGCACGTAGACCAGGAAATGAGAGAAATGGTTGTTTCCAACTGTGACAGCACTGGAGTACAGCAGTGCAGACTCATTGGAAGTGGTAGATAACCACAACCTACAAATGGCCTTTGTAAACGTGCCTGATTTCCTGATTATTGTACACTTTTTTTTTTTTTTTGAGAGGTTTTTGCTATAGGGCGTGTGCACTCACCAGAAAGAGAGAGAGAGAGACAGAAAGCAAGAAATCAACCCCCACCCCCAGCCACACTCCAGGAATGGCCACGCCACAATCCCTTCTCCTCCATTCTTCTCTTGGGATCTCAGGCACATACACACGTGCACCTGACCTGAGTTAAAGCCGCTGGGTCAGGGACTCTAACCATGGTCTTCTACATGGGAGTCCAGCAACATAGCCATTACACAAACTGCTGTTCCCTATTGTACATTTTTAAATTAGCTTCTGGGATTAGCAGGTTGTGTAATGATTGAGGTGCTGGACTCCCACATTGCCAACAGCAGTTCAAGTCCCAGATCTGGTGGCTTGCTATCTGACTTTTATTCTAATTTTTATTCTCTCTGTTTCTTTCTCTGGTGAGCACACATGCCCTGAAGCAAATTAAGAAATGATAATAATGATAAAAAAAATTAAATAAATATTCTTTTTTTAAAAATTGGCTTCTAATTTACATCTCACAAGATTATTCTAAAGTTCCTCTAAAAGAATAAGACTATACGTTTTTTTTTTAAAAAAGAGAGTTATGCTATTAATTATTTTAAAATTGAAATGAAACTAAAATTATTACAATATTAAAACAAACAGTAAACCCTAAACAAACCCTATGTGTAAAGATGTTAATATAAAATAAAGGACATATCTTGAATGAATTCAACTTCCACATTGGGAAAATTGATGACTTAGAAAAATAATTTGAGGTATAGCCTACATCATGCTATTGCTAATTTTTATTTTTTGGCTAAAGTGTGCCTGCACCCATCAGAGTGAGATGAGGGACAGAGGACTAAGAAATCACCCCCCAGGAGAGACGACCACGTTTCAATCCCTCTTCTCCATTCACCCTCAGGATTTTGGGTGTGCATACACGCACACCCAGTGAAATTTTTTGAGTCATTGGATCCTGGACTCAAACTACACAATCTGCCATGTGGGATCCACAGCCTTAATCTCTATGCCACCTGCTGGTCCCAAAATAAAATTTTATAAACTACAAGAAGCATGTGTAAGTTGTCACTTAACTGCTCTCTGAAAAAGAAATACATTTCCAAGCATCAAAGCAATTTTAAAAATCACAAAGGAAAAGATAGGTTTGACCACACAGAATCTTAAAACCTCTGCATATCATCCCTAAAGAAATGTAAAACAAAATATAAATGATGAAAAAATGCAATAAAAGATAAATACAATCAATACATAGCAACCTTGTAAATCAGTAGGAAGAAAACGTAATTATCTCAATAAAAATAACCACGAGGACCGAGACTGTGGAATAGAGGTTGGGGGAGTTGGTCCCACATGGTCAACTGTAGTTTTACTTTTAGCCCTGGTGACTTGAAATAAACTCCATGTGTGCATGTGTATGAGAGTACAATCTTGACAGGAAGGAGGAATAGGGGAAGCAGGATAAAGAACTGTGGCATGACTAGAACCCTATGACAGAGGCCCCTTCTCTCTTTCTCTCTGTCTCTCTCCCTTTCCCTCTTCTCCCTACTAGGTGCACAAACACCCTGGCAAGAGAATTATAAGAAAAAAAGAAAAAATGAGCATGGGACACAGTTATTTTATATTGCCTAACAAATACAAGAAAATATGTCTAATCTCAATAGGAATAAAAAAATCAAATTAAAAGAGCACTACGAGAAATCACTTTTTCCCTCCTTATGTAAGCAAAGCAATGAACGTGATTAATGACCTATGTTAATGAAATTATAGTGACCCAGGCACCCTCCCACACTGCTCGCCAGGGCAGAAGTGGGTATTACCTTTCTAGAAAATAATTTGCTACTTTGGCAATTTGTTTGAAAAGCCTTTTCAAAAGTTCATAGTTCATATCTTTTGACACCATAATTCTACTTCTTTATTTTAACAAAATAATGAGATAAAATCCAAGATTTTGTAAATATATAAATTACTTTCTGTAATTTACTTTCTGCATGCCTGCTCTGTGCTGACCTTGTGTTGGAGCCATGATGAATTAGGTAGACATGGATTACTATATACTACTTCAGAAGGCTGTAAAGCTGACAGTTCTGTTATGTAAACTCTAAAAATAATCTTATTAACAAACGATAAGGGCATGAGTAAACAACTTATGGTATATCCACGAAATACTATTTTTAAAAGGGTGTTAAAAACAACTTTTGGATAAATCTATAATGTATTTATGTTAGATACTGCATGGGTTCGTGCATTGTAAGATAAAAACTCAAAACACATATCACATAGTTATTTTCTTAGCAAAGAAGAGCGATTAGACATGAAAAGTTGAGTTCTTTCTCCTACTTTCCCATGCCTCCTCTCTCCTCTAAATTTAATACAATATTATATTATTTGTAGATTTTTTCCCCTTACTTATCCCATTTACTCCTCAATCATTTCCTTTTAATCTTTGCCAAATTCGTATGTGCTGGGTCCTTAAAAATTTTTCAGAAAAAAAATACGCATGGATTTCAAATTTTTTAAAACAAAATAGACTTCCATTTTAATTTCATTTTTCCGCCAACTTTTTGAAGTATCCTAGTATTAATCCTTACTTATGGGTCGAATATATTTCACCAGGTGTGTTGCTTTCTTTTTTCCTTTCTATTTTTAAAAATCTCTGGAATCATTTATGAACTAGGTGTGGGTTATGGCAATTTTGTGTTTTTAGAAAATTCTAAAACTGCCATTTCTTAATTCCCATCCTAATCTCTTGCACGGAAGAAAACAACTGAGCAGCCCGGAAATCAACAGATCTTCAGGAAAATATTTCCTAGTCCTTCTGATGTCTGGTATTTGGACCTTACATAGTATTCTCATCGCCATTACGTTTTAAGAGTAAACTTGCCTTTAACGCAAAGACCACCCACCTGATGCCTTGTGAGGCACTGTTCCCAGCAGAGGGACATTGACGGTTGGATCAGCCATGATGCCTTTATCCAGGGAACGCAAGGACAAGAATTCATAGAAGTATTCTGTCTACAACAAAAGGCATTGACAGTTAGTACCATGGAAACCACAGAGAGTGAGAAGGCACTTCTTAATTCATCATCCCTCTGATGGGGGAGTGATCATTTTCACAACAGGAACTCAGGAGCACACAACATCTAAGATACTGGGTAGGCATAACTTATCTTCTGTGTTTCAAAACTGTAGAATTAGACCTCTGTTTAGAAAACAGAGATCCCTCCAAGACATTAAAAACATTTATTCTAAAACACCCACAAAAGATAGTCCTTCAACTTAAATAATATTATGTTCTTGCTCTCTCTTAAAAGGATTGAGATTAAAATGCTTTTAGGGAAATAAGTGATGTCAAAATAATCATCCATTAGTTCTTAGAAAAATCCCTCTCAGCTTCTTGGTTTATTCTTAATTCTTTTCAAACCTGAAGTGTGCCTTTTGATCAGAATTTGGAGAGCTGTAATAAATAAAAGATAATGACAACAGCAACCCATTGGCAGAAGAAGACCTTAAAGTCCAAAATTTAATGATCTTGCTGTTAACATTTGTTTTTTAGTCTCATTCCCTTTGAAAGGCTTATATTTAAGGTCTTAATTTAATTATAAGAAAAAAAAGTCTAACAATGCAAAAAAAATCACTACAACATGACAAGAAGCCATAATTATAAACATTTTCATTTTCTCATTAAGACTCTAGTTGAGAAAATGATTCCTGCTAATCAAATAGCCATGAAGAGTGAAAGAAGTAGATGCAAAATCTCACTATAGAGCTTAGTTGTTTAACTGGTTCTCAACTGGGTTATTAAAAGTGTCTGTGATGGAAACAATATGTTCTTGTTTAGGGGGAAAAAAGACCATGCAATAAATAGCACAAATGCTAACATAAGATTTGAGTGGTTCTGCAGTTACCTGTACAGATATCTACAATTCAGATGGACTAATTAAAGAAATTAATTATGCAAACATGGGCTAAACGGAAGTGAAAAAAGAATATGACCTTTCCCACATGTACTGTAAAATTTATTTTTTATCATGGAAGACATTAAGAGATACACGGTAGTCAAATGACTTTCTGTTTTAAATCACAGCCGATGTATTAGCATTTGGACTTTAAATAGGGATAATAATACAAAGGGGAAAAATCTCAGCTGCTATAAGGACAATGTCTCTACTTGCAATTGATTGAAAAATACTTTCTGGGTTTCACTAGACCAAAAGGAGTACCTTAATCAACCAAATTCCCACTGCATTACCTTCTTTTATTAAGTTGCAACAGTAGTTCCAAAAGACTACCGTGAACAGTTTGCTAAGTGAGTAACAGAATTGTGTAGATGAATTATTAAATTCATTTACTAGGAGATCCTTGAGGATAAAAGGTCATAAGACAGGTAATTCATACCTTGTCTAAGGAAAGGCAGAGGTTTTGAAAGAAGTCTGATTAAAAGAGTATTATCAGGAAGGTAATTTAACTAGGAATGAATTCCTTTGAAAAAGAGCGATATTTCTGTTCCTGCAGAAAAACCAATGACTAAAAGTGAACTAATTTTCATGATACCAGCTGCACTTTCCTCTATGTTTTACTAAGGAATATTTATCATTAACATTTTGTTCTAAAACATATTTTAGTTGGCATTATGAAAGGATTTAGTGTTGGATACCCTTACAGTTAGTAAAATTTGGATTATTTATACTACCAAGTACAGTAATAACAACAAGCAACAACACAACAAACATTGGTATAATGCATACTATGTGTCAAAACTTATTCTAAACATCTTATTAATAGTATGTATAATGACGGATAAGAACTGCGAAGATAGAACACAAAAACTTCAAAACAAAAACTTAAAATACCATAAACTAAGTTATCATTTGCTACCCCATAACTATATCGCTGAATTTTATCACATTATATTGGGTTGTCAGAAAAGTCATGACACATTTTTGCATAGAAAAACAGGAAAAAATATGTCATGACTTTTCTGATGACCCAGTAAATAAATCTACCTTTCTATGGATGATATATTTAAACTTTGTATTCATAAAAACTTGAATTTCAGTAAGAAATTGAACTTTCAAGTTTTAAAAATATTTTCTGTTAATAAGATAAAGATTTTAGTGAGAAATTGATTTTTTAGGTTTTAGAAATATTTTCTGTTCACACTGCTGGACTCCCATGTAGTCGACAGTGGTTTGAGTTCCAGAACCAGTGGCTTAAACTCATGCTGGGCACATGTGTGTACATGCCCAAGATCCTGAGAGGAAAATGAAGGAGAAGGGGTTGCAGAATGGCCAGCCCCCCTGGGGGGTGATTTCTTGCTTTCTGTTTCTCTGGTGAGCGCACACACCCTATAGCAAAAACCTCTCCCCCCACCAAAAAAATGTCTTTTTCTGTTTGTAAGAATAAGGATAAAAGACTAGACAAGAAGATTAAAGTAATAATTGTTAGATTGCTGGTAATTGATACTGTTTTTCTTTTCTCTCTTTCTCAGATGTTCCACATGTGGTTCTATATCTTTTGTAGTGAAACAAATGCAATTATTTATTTAAACACAAGCATTAATCATGTACCCTGCTTTTAGTACTGTGTGGCTGATGATAATCCATTGACTATTTGCATAATTTTCTGGTCATAGATTAAATATCCCTATTGGACATATATTCATGTGTCTGTGCTCATGTAATTTTTTTTAGTTTATTTTATTTAGAGAGAGAGAGAGTCATAGACAGGTACACTTGACAGGATCTCATCATCCTGTGATCTTCCCCCGCAGCCTTGCAGCCAGCCAGAATCACTGGCATGCCTTGTATGTTTAGGTCAACTCAGTATCCAAATTCAGACCTCCCATGTGCCTCCATTATTATGCAGCAGTCTCGGACCACCTGTACCATTCAATAGTTTTATTGAAATGTCCTGCATGTCTCTTTGAAAGTATGCTTCAAGCAAACGATTAATTACAATTAAAATAGCTTCCGAATGTCTCTTTAGAAAAGTTCTGATGATGTTCAAAGAATGTAGAACAGAAATAATTTCACTCAGATCCCAGAAACATAACTTCACAGTTTTTAGATCTCCATATGGATACATAAAAGTAGGCTGGGAAGCATGCAATCCCTTATGTTCATTATCAGAGAACTTATAATTAGCCTTGGCACGGACTGCTCAACACGGTGCAACTAGGTTTAATGAGTTCTCTCAGAAGCCAATACCCCAATCTTATCAATAACAAAGGTGACACTATAGGTTTTAGGGTATCCCTTTGATTTCTTTGAGAAACATTATGGTTTTCCTGCTCTAATTCTAAGTCTGTATCAAGGACAAGAACTGGTCATGACAGTTTCTTGGATCTTATAGCAAAAGGTAGTTGTTAGAGTAAATCTTTTACTTGTTTGTTTTATTTGTTCCTCTTGTTGAAGAGGATAATGGTGCTTAAATCTCTGAAATATGGGTCCAGCCTTGATGGCATCGTTGATAACATACTCAATGGCAGCGCTGGATGCCACATGGCTGACTGCAGGTTCGAATCCCTCACCCAATGGGCCTGAGACATGCCAGGAAGATTGCTTGTCCAAGATCTTGATGAGCTGAAGGACTGGGAGAAAGGGATCGTGGTATGACCAGACCTTGTTGAAGGTGCTTCTCTCTTGCATATGCATGTGTTCTCATAAATAAAAAATGAAATAAAAAACTCTGAAATATGTCATTTTCTTCATACTTAGTATATTTTTAAAAAGGTTTTTGTCCATACAGTGTTTTCACTACCTTCTGAAGAATTCTAACTTGAGAACCACTTAGAAAGTGATTACTCTTTGGTCTCTGATCTTGACACGGACCTCTTCCAAAGTTTCTCTTTGCTATTATAAAGAGCTCTATCAAAACCACCAACACCATATAAATATTTGTGCAAATACGTAATCATCAAAATGATGTATGAGATCAGCAGTTAGCGTAATGGTTATATAGCTGGACGCCCATGTAGTCGACCATGGTTCGAGTTCCGGACCTGGTGGCTTAAACTCGTGCTGGGTGCTTGTGCATGCGTGCCCAAAATCCCAAGAGGACAATGGAGGAGAAGGGATTGCAGTGTGGTCATCTCTCTGGGGGGGGAGGGGTGATTTCTCACTTTCTGTCTCTCTGTCTCTCTCTTTCTGGTGAATGCACATGCCCTACCGCCAAAACCTAAAAAAAAAAAGATGTATAAATATACCCTTCATTTAACTTAAGGGCATAAATTTAAAAGCCTTAAAAATGGCTGGTGAAATAACTGATAGATTTATACAGTATTCTAACTTTTAGACAGGACTTTCCATTTTTAATTTATTCATTATATAGTAAATATGCCTAAATCCAAATCTCTCCACTGGAAAAACTTATTTGGGAGCAAATAAAAGCTATGCCAAAGAGAACATAGAACTTGCTTTAAAGTTTAGGAATAAATTTCACAAACTGCAGATCTATTACTGAAATAAAAGGAACTCAGGGCATAAACTGTAATAGAGAAATGGTATATTGACAACTCTGAAAACTCTATTAGGAAAAAGTACATTTTTAAAAATGACACTAGTGGAAATTCAGGTAGAGGCAAGTAGGGTGATTATTTGGAAAATACATGAAAAGATTGCTTTGTACTCAAACAAAGAATGGGTCTATTCAGGAGAATAATTCACTTCTAAATTAAGTTGCTGAAAAATTTTGCTGGCCTGGTTTGCCATGCAGTAAATTTTCTTTTCATGGAGAAGAATAAAAGATGCCCAAATATTATCAAGAGAAGACTGCTGGAGGTCATTTAACTTGCTTCCAATTGACTTGGCTGAATATTAGGGTTGTTCTTTCCAGAACAGATGAAGACATCATTTAAACAGCAAAAAGGGACAACTCATAAGGCCTTTTCTTTGGTACTCCTCTTTGGGTAGACATGGAGAAAGGAAGCAGAGCCTGCATTGACCATTGGGAGGAGTAGAGAGAATCCAGTATTTCTTTTCTACCTTTGAAGTTCTGGGTTTATGGAGTATACT